ATGAACATATAACTATTTAAACAACCAAAGAGCACATTCTGCAAGTCCCTGGAAACCAGTACACAGCCTTTCTCTTTGCATGACTCTAGAGTCCTCAGCTGCTCTCTCTCTCTCCATGTCATCATCTCTGGCTCCATCTCTGATGTCGCTGCTTCTCTGGGTAGGGTCCCATATTCCGCTCATGCTCTTCTCCCTTGATGGTCCTAGAGTCCTATGTTCCTGGAATATTAGATTAACTACTCTCTGCTTTATGTTACAAAACTTCTATCTTTACAGTTGTGACAGTCGCAATTAGTCACGATAACAATTACTCACTATTGAATCATAAGAATCTTATCTCCATCTCCTAAAAAGATGAAAATAATTATTCAATGGGGATTCTACACCCCACACACACACACTCTGAAACTAAAGTCCTTCTTGAAAATTTGTAAGCCAGCCACTTCGTGCCTTTATTTTAGGTAGCCAATGTCTAAGTTGTCCATCCCTATCAACATTTTTTAAATCTATAAACCAAGCTTTCCATTCCTTATATCTCAATTTAAAACTTTTAAGCTAATGATGGGTTTTAAAAGTAAAATAAAGGTTTATGAGTGACATAGTCTTAGCCTGGATTCTATTCTTCGACTTGAAGTCAGAAGACCTAGATTTGAATCCTTAGGGGAATTATAACTTTCAGGGGCCAATAAGGAGTTGGACCAGATAATTTCTAAAGTCCTCTTCAACCTATGAAAACCTGGAAGTCCCATCTATCTTAGTGTACATTTTGTCAATTCAACATTCACCATGCTAATTTGAAACAAAGTGTAATTGTAGAAAAGGTACTAATAAGTATTTTCACTCACGATTATCAGCAATACATGCGTTCACTGTCTTTGCCACCACCACTGCAAGTTTAGCACTGGAAAAAGTCTTGTGTGAATCAGATTCCAGTTTCACAAGAACCTGAGACAATATATCCAGTCCACCCACAGATATAAAGTAGTTCTGAACATAAGCTTGGGAGTAAAGTAACAAAATTATTAATATATCAACAAGACATTATACTAAATTTAACATTAACTTAACTTTTTCAACTACTTACTAAAAATCCCAAAATTAGAGAATTAAAGATACAATCTTTAGTTGTATATATATATATAAAATCATAAAATAGATTACCTATGTATGAACATCACTTTGACAGAGTACAATTATATGTATAGTATACTATATTATGGAATCCTGGTGTGGCACTGTGGGTTAATGCATCAGACTCCAATGCCGTTTGAATGGCAAGTTCGACGGTTCAAGCTCACCAGCTTCTCTTCAGAAACCTATACAGGGTCACTATGAGTCGGAGCCGACTTGACAGCACTTAACAACAACAACAACAATACTATATTATACTATTGGTCCTGGTGTGGTGCTGTGGGTTAATGTGCTGGACTGCAAAGTTGGCTTGAACCACAAGGTTGTTAAGTGCCGTTGAGTCGACCAACAGCAACCCAGTACAGGGATTCCAAGGAGCAGCTGGTGAGCTTGAACCACCAACCTTGCGGTTAAAAGCTTTTGCCCATTTATAATCAGGTTGCTTGTTGTCTTATTATTGACTTATAAGTATTCTTTCTTTATTCTTTCTGTGCACAAATTATCAGTTATTTTCCCCAATATTTTCTCCCAATCTGTGACTTGTCTTTTCATTTTCTTAACAGGATCTTTTGATGAGCAAAAGAATTTAATGTCAATGGAGTTTATTTATTTGTTTTTCTTTAAAAGTTTATGCTTTTTGTATCCCAAGAAATCTCTGTCTACTCAGCCTTTTGAAGATTTTCTCCTATGTTTCTGTCTCAAAGGTTTACAGTTTTAGCTCTTACATTTAGGTTTATGGAGCATTTCAGGTTAATTTCTATACACTGTGTGAAATTCATATTTTGGATATACCTATCCATTTTTCCCTCTTAGAATTGCTTTGACACCTTTGAGAAAATCAGCTGACCATATCATGTGTGGGTCTGTTTCTGGGCTCTCTTATCTTTATTTTGATTCAATTGTATTACGGTCAGAGAACACAGTCTGTACAGTTTTAGCTCTGCTATTACTGGGAGTACTGCTGTGGCACTGAAAGTTAATGTGCTGGATTGCAAGATCAGTTTGAACTGCAAGGTCGGCGGTTCAAGTTCAACAGGCGCTCCTTGGAAACCCTGTACTGGGTTGCTGTGGGTCACTATGGGTCGGAACCAACTCGAAGGCACTTAACCACAACAACATCTATTACTCTGTTCTATGAGGGAATCTGTGGAGCTTCAAAACTATGCTGCCATCATCATCTCTCCAATATCCTTCAAACAATATTTGCTCTTAAGTTCCTGCTATTTGCAATAGTGTAGTGGTTACCAGTCGGGCTGCTAACCTTAAGGTCAGCAGTTCAAAATTACCAACCATTCCGTGGCAAAAAGATGAGGCTTTTTGCTCCTGTAAAGATTGAAAGCCTTAGAAACCCTATGCAAGGTCACTATGAGTTGGAACCAACTCCACAGCACATCACTATCACCACCACCAAACTGATGTATATTACTATGCTTTCAAATGTTTCCCCAAGTGTAGCCTAGACAATAATGAATACTTACTATTGTTTGAAAGAGTGAGTCCAATAAATGAACAAATAGGGCGAATTATCTCAGGGTGCATACAATTTATTAGCCACTCATTAGCATGTGGAAAAAGTGAGCGGCACATTGCCTGATTGTCATCTGAAAGGAGAGAAAGTCTGCGTCACGTTCTAATGTGCCATTTGGAAAATACCTTTTGTGGGAAATTAAGACTGATTTCTGTTTTTACCTTTATTTTCACATTTCAGTGTTTGAGAGACTTACCATTTCGAGGATTGTTGACAGTGGCACAAAGAGTACTGCACACTGAAGACCACAACTGGTACCGCTGGAAAACATTCTTATCTGACAAATTCAACTCCGACTGTGAGAGAACCGTCCTATTTAGTTAAAAACAAAAGGAAGTAAATCAATATAAAGTGTTAGGTAGTAAATAATTATTAACAAGAAATTTCTGTTTGCTTACCTGAACAACTGTAACAGAACTTTAATACAACCTGTTTCTCTCACAAGTGTTTGTCCAGTCCCTTAAAAAAAAAAAACACAAAACTTAGCCTTATTACGTATCTTTGTTTTTTTTTAGTTTTTATTATGAATTATGTGATACTTTACATGGGAGAATACCAGCTTTACATTCATCCTATCATATTTCATTTCACTCCAATGATTACAATCCCCTCCATGCATCATCAAACCAAAGGGCACCCCCTGCAAACCTGCCTGCTACATAACACTTTTTAAGGAAACAATCATTTTAATAAATAACTTTTAACCACTTGTTTTTTAAAAAACAAGTATTTCAAATTATGACACAGGATTATATTAGATAGTGATCTGTAATCACAATTATTATGGAAGTGAAACACCTAGAATGGCATTAATGAGAATGCTGAAATACTGAAAAATATGCCAAAGTCCCTGAACAATTAGTGTAGCAATTGTTAATGAGAACCTTTTTTCTCCCCATGGTGACCTCCTTATTAAGTCTTAAACAGGACAAAGACAAGACAAGAAAAAATCATCCAGATAATGAGACCATCAGTCTGAAGCCATCATTGGTGTCCAAAAGGTTCATGGCTATTTTCCTAATTACAGAAAACAAAGGAAGTTTGTCACAAAATGATTGGCAGCAGATGGATTCACTATTGCCTGTGAGACAATGGAGGCAGAGCAGGAAAGGGACTGTAATTGGTATAGATACACTATTACAGATAGAAACATTTACATGATGGGGTCTGGACACCCATACCACCTTGATCAGTGTTTGATTCATGACCATGCAACCCTGGTAAACCAATTTCCACCGAGGGTATGCCTAGGCAAGTCCCTGAGGGTGGCACTGCCCATCATTGGGCAGGCTGTTGTTGTGTGCCATAGTGTTGGTTCTGACTCATATCGACCCTGTATAGGGTTTCCTAAAGCAGCTAGTTGATGTTGTTGTTGTTATGTGCCATGGAGTTGGTTCCGACTCTTAGCGACCCTGTACAGAGTTGCTGACGCTATAAATCTTTACAGGAGCAGAAAGCCTCATTGTTCTCCCACAGAATAGCTGGTAGCTTCAAACTGCTGACCTTGAGGTTCACAACCCGATTCGTAACCACTATGCTATCAAAGCAGCTGGTTGTTGTTGCTGTTAAGTACTGTGGAGTCGGATCTGACTCATAGTGACTCTGCGTAGGGTTTCTGAGGCTGTAAATCTTTACAGGGGCAGAAAACCTTATCTTTCTCCAGCAGAACAGCTGGTAGTTTTGAACTGCCAACCTTGAGGTTTGCAGCCCGATTCGTAACCACTAGGCTACCAAAGCAACTGACTGTTGTTGTTGTTGTTGTTGTTGTTTGCCGTTGAGTCGGTTTCAACCCATAGCGACCCTGTACAGGGTTTCCGAGGCTGTAAATCTATACGGGAGCAGAAAGCCTCATCTTTCTCCCGCAGAATGGCTGGTAGTTTCGAACTACTGGCCTTAAGGTTCGTAGCCCAATTTGTAACCACTACACTACCAAGCAGGCTGGTTGTTGTTGTTGTCAGGTGCCACTGAGTCAGAACTGACTCATAGTGACCCCATGCACAGCAGAACGAAACAATGTCCGATCCTGGGCCAACCCCTTCACCGCTGCCACACTTGACACCATCAATGATGCCACCTGGCTGATCCATCTCATTGGGGGTCTTCCTCTTTTT